ATGAAGGTGATGAGGGCAGTGTGAGGTAAAGATTTAAAACAGTTCCTTTTTTTTCCTTCCCCCTTCCTCTCCCCCCCCCCCATGTGACCAAATCTTTTCCACTGAAACTTCTCTCACTCTGACATCACTGTCGTCGACTCTCCGTCCGTTCAGACGTCTGTGACCTGGCCCAGTTCTAACCTGCCAGACAAACGTGTCCGATCACATCAGTCACGGTCCACAGACACAGACACAGACAGACACAGACACAGACAGACACAGACACAGACAGACACACAGATACAGACACAGACACAGACACACAGATACAGACACAGACAGACAGACACAGACAGATACAGACACAAAACACAGACAGACACACAGACACAGACATGGTCACACACACACACACACACAGACACAGACACACAGATACAGACACGGTCAGACACAGACACACAGACACAGGCACAGATACAGACACAGTAATTATTGAACGTGTTTGTCAGCTTTGAGTCTGAAGAAGGACGTGGAACCTGTGGTTTGGTAGACGTTAGCTGACGTCACATTAGCACGTTAGCTGACGTCACATTAGCACGTTAGCTGACGTCACATTAGCACGTTAGCTGACGTCACATTAGCACGTTAGCCTCAAACTCCACCGCACGATGAGGATTTTCTCTCTTCACCTTCATCTGTTTCGACTGTTTACATTTGATTCACGCTCCACGTCTGATTGGAGGCCGTGAACGTCCTTCACTCTCTTCAGGACAGAGGGACAAACACACAGATTTATGGCCCAGTCTGGAGTCTGGCGCCCCCTGAGTTCATCCTCCAACACAGTCCATGGCCAAACCCATAAAAACATGCAGGCAGACACACACACACACACACACACACACAAACTGTATTTTTTCATGTTCTTCTTTTACTTGATGCAGTTCCTGTTTTCACCACATGCTGTGCTCATGAGCTGACAAACACTGAAGATGTTTCTGCATAAACAGGAAGTGATTAGTGATGATTTGATGTTAAAGACTGGATGATAAGTTGAGACTGAGTCGTTATAATTATAATAATGCATTAACCCCCCCCCGTTACTCCCCCCCTCACCCCCTCACC